TCCCCTGCTCCAGCATAGGCCTTGCTTCTGTGTATTTTCTTTATGGGTCTTTCTCAGAAATTTCTTTCTTTTCTTTTTCTTTTTTTTTTTCAGTTTTTAGTTTGTTTAGCTCTGACTATTCTGGAGCTTGTTTTGTAGAATGGACTCGTCTCAAACTCACAGAGATTTGCCTGCCTCTGCCTCCCGGGGGCTGGGATTAAAGGTGTACACCCCCACCCCCGGCTCTCAGGGGTTTGTGTGTCTCATCCTGTATATATTTGTGAATTGGTCCCTCTGCTTGTGTGAAGACTGTTGGATTGGGGCCTGTCTCCATATCTCTAAAATAAGGTTGCGAATTCTTGCCCTCCAGGGTCGTTTGTCCAGGAGATGGGACCCTAAGCAGAGAAGTCAGCAGTACAGCGCGTGGCATGCAGTGCTCTGCAGAAGTCTTTCTCTTAACTAGCGATGGCGGGGTTTCCTTCAGCGTGCAGCTTTCTCTTCCTCTTTGGGGAGTGTTTATGACAGGATATCATACATCTGGGTGTGTCTCCTTTCTATGACTCTCCAACCCCTTGCTTGGTTTTGAGTGTCAGGGCTTTCCCTCTGGCGGAGGTCTCTAATCCTAGCCATGAGTCATTATGTTCTTGGGGTGGGTACTGCTTGTCCCTGGCAGGTTAGTTAGGGCTTGTGGGTGCTGCAGTGCTGGAAGGTTCTGTCATTGAGGTCCCCCCAGATGCAGGTGCAGTTCCTTCTTCCACGCATATCCCCTTCTGCGTGCAGACTGTGCTAGTCAGGCCCACTGCTCTGTGCTCTGCTAGTGTAGGTCTTGTCTTCAAATCTGGCCCAATTCAGCCATTGAGACCCTAGGCCTTGTTACTCAGAGTCTTTGTGTCAGATAGACATTGGCTATCTGTAGCTGCAGTAGCAATTGCCCCGAGCTCTCCTCTGCGGAGAGAAACGGGAAGGCCTAGTCCCCTGGTGACAAAGGGGAGAGAATGCTCTTCTGGAGGTCACCCTTGCCAGGAACTCTCTGCTTTTGGGCATCGTCTGGATCTGCTCAAGTATGGCCCCTGTGGAAGCGGGCACAGGCAGAGCCTTGCTGCTGCATGGAATTTTGAGGTTCTGAGTTGCAGGATGGGGCGTTCTGTCATGGCATTTGGCCTGAACTGTGCCCTAGCCCCAAGTACTTTCTATTTTTTATCTAGAGCACCCTCACTGCCTCACTCCAAACAGCCTTCTGCCTCGGGGGTTCTCCACTCCAGCCCTGCTTCTCATCAGAAAGGATACCAAGGCTATCTCTTGGGCCACGGGAACAGAGCTAGCAGAGCTGAGTTATAGGGCTTTAACACTCCCCTATTAGCCTCCGTGTACCTTCCTTTCCCATATGTGAGTGGCAGCCAGTGCTGTCCTCTAGAATGTCATTGTAGGGAAAATTTTGCATATTTTTGCTGCCAGAAATGGCAGTGGTAGCCACACGTGGCTGCTAGGCTCCTGTAATGTGGCTAGTGGAACTACATTTTTAACTTCAAGCTGGGTGTGGCGGTACACCTTTGCAATCTCAGAACTCAGAAGGTAGAGGCAGAAGGATCAGGATGTTTAAGGTCATTCTCAGCTACACTGGAGAGATGGCTGGGAGTTGGGGGGTGAGGACTATTTCAGAGACCCCAAGTTCGACACCTAGCATCCATGTTGGGCCATTGCAACCACCTGGAACTCCAGTTCCAGGGGAATTTGACATCTCCGGTCTCATGAGCACGTACACATACATATGAACATAAAAATTAAAAATAATTTAAAATTGGGAGCAGCCTGGCATAGTAGTGCAGGCCTTTAATCTCAGCACAGGGAGGCAAAGGCAGGCAGATCTCTGTGAGTTTGAGGACAACTTGGTCTACAAAGTGAGTTCTGGGACATGCAGAGCTACATAGTAAGAATTCATCTCCAGAAAAAAAAGGGACTGGTGACTTTAAGCTAGGCAGTGGAGGCACACATCTTTAATTCCAGCACTTGGTAGGCGGAGGCTGGCAGATCTCTGAGTTCAAGGCCGCCTGATCTACACAGTGAGTTCCAGGACAGCCGGGGCTACACAGAGAACTCCTGTCTCAAAAACAACAAAAAAAAAATTGAGTTGTTTATTTATGTGTGTCCATGTGGGACTGTGTGTGCCACATATGTGGAGGTGTGCAGGGAGGCCAGAGGGCATAGGATCCTTGGAGCCGGACTTACTGGCTGGTGGTAGTGAGCCACCTGACAGGGCTGCTGGGAACTAACTCAGGTTCTCTGGAAGAGCAGCAAGCATTCTAAATTCACACGGAGCCACCTCTCATCTGGTGGGGAAAATACCACTATAGTTTAATTATTTGCCTAAAATTATTTTATTTTTCACTTCTGGAGACAGGTTCTCATGAAGCTCAGGTCACCATTAAACTCTAGATCTTCCTGCTTGCCCACTTGAGTGCTTGGATTATAGGTGTATAATCCGTTTAAATTTAAATTGCCACATGCGGCTACCATGTTAGTAGCACACATTTGTCTCCGTTCAAGCCCCAAAGGCTTGTGATGAGTGACTGAATTGTGAAGAATTCCCCCAACCTCCAAAGACCATTTTTGGATTTTCCTGGAGGCCTGGCTTAACCTAACCATGTGGGAGGAGAGGGAAGAGCATCTGGGTTTGCTACAGGTTCCACTGGTGGAGGGCAGGCCAAGAGCTGGGGCCTAGAAGCAGAAAATCGGGCCATGGCTATCATGGCCTCACACCTCTCATGTGCATCCCATGTCTTCCGGGCCTAGATTTGAAGAGAAGGGAGCCCTTCCTGGCTGTGTCAGGATAACAGAGCTGTAGCATGAACCCAGTGGTTTCTGTTCTCGGGGGTGGAGAACTTTTCAGAATTACTTCTCTCTAAGTAGCCTACCGGGTGAAGCCTACAGGGAGTTGGTCCTCAGCACTCTTTGCATCTAAAAGACCCTTGTCCTTGGGCTCAAGCTGGAGAAAGGGAGCTGTGGCAGGTCCTAGCCCCTCTGCTCCTTGGTGGCCTGGCCTAGGAGGCTTTGCATTGACTAGGTTTTAGGCGTGACCCTGTGCGTGTCTGGAACTGTTGCTTCAGACTGCAGTGACTCACCGTGGAAGGGGGGGTGGAGGGTGGGGCCCCCATGTGGGTGAGTGAGCTGGCTCTCTTTCTCCTCTGCTGGCTCAGCACCAGGCTGTTTAGCTGAGCAAGGGGCCCTGCACAAGGAGGAAGACAGGGAAACCTGAAGGGGTGGCTTCAGTTCTTAGGGGTCCAAGCTAGAGACTTTTGCTCTTCCTTCTTCTTAGGCTGGCTTCTCAGTGTTGGTCTGGGGCCGGGGCAGAAGGTGCCAGTTTCGAGTTGGGAAGAGTCAGTATGACTTTCCTCTTAACGTGGCCTCTTCTGCCTGCTCGGAAGGGAGAGGGTGTTTCCCTAGCTTGAGCCTGTGCCAGCGGGCCTCTCTCCTGTCTTTGCTCGGACTCTAGCCACACCTGTGTTGTCAAGTAGGCTCATGAGAAATGCTGCATTTGTGAGTTTGTTGAGTTTGAGAGCAGGTGTGGTGATCTGGGGTTTATATTTGTGTTTCTGTTTTACCCATGTTGGTATCTTCCTGAAACTGGACCTGCTAAGTGCCATGGGTTTCTAAGAGCCACGGTCCCATCCTAGAGGCCGATTCCAGCACCTTGGATGCCCCATTTATATTTCATTGCCCTGATAAGTCTCTTAAGATTTCTGGAACATTATGGAGCCCAGCTGGTCACACCCAGAGTCTCTTGCTTATCATTTGTGCCGGGACAGGACTCTAAGTCTTTTGAATTTCTGTATCTGGCACATGGCGTGCATTCAGTAAGTGTCTAGAGGATGCTTGAGTGACGGGAGCTAACAGCCCAATGCAGTGTACAATTAAGTGCTGGGCTGGGCTGTGTGCCCTGATTGGTATCCTTTATAATATCTAGTGCAGACTTGGGCATACAGGAGGTGCTCAGTATGCATACATTTATTGATTGGTTGACAAATTTCTGGATGTAAACAGTTTCAGGGTGGGGCTTTGGGTGAGGCTCACCACAGTTTATAGAGTCCCTCATACAATTTCACAGGTATGCTTTAGATGGCTGCTAGTGCCATTTTGTGTGGGTGGCTGTAGTTGGTTCATCGTTATATCTACCATCCTTCCGGGTGCCTTCCCAGGGTACCTCTGCAGCTGATAACTCATCTGGTGGCAAGGAGGCATGCCCTTACCTATGGAGTCTGGCTCAGGGCCCAGTGTGGGCAGCCAGATGGCCTTTGACTCACCATGGTCCTTGACTCACCACAGGCCTGAGTTGGGTTCAGCTTTGCTTCGGTCTTTTGGCTTTGGGAGTCTGGGAGAGTGGAATTGTCTTTTTTTAGGTCAGCTGGAAAGGATTCCCTTTGGTCCCGAGGGCCAGGCTAGAGATGGTAAACTGAGTCACTGTCAGTGCGGTGGGGAACAGCAGCATTTGTGCTTGGAGAATGGTCTCACATTACTGAAGAGGTGAGACTCAATGTGGTATAGGGGAAAGACCCACAGAAACACAAGCTAGGGTGTGGCATCAGCATTGTGTGCACTCCAGGCAAACTGGCCTTTCAGAGTCTCAATCTCTCTGCTTGTAAGGTGGGACCAGCTATTCTAGAGAATGGTGAACTTGGGTTTGTTGTGGAACCTCCGTGGACCAGCTGCTGTCTTCTTTCAATCTGTATGGAACTCTTACCATTTCCACATTCACAGCCAAGGAAACAGGTTCAGAGAGGTCAAGTGCCCTTGGCAAGAGTCCTATAGCTAGGAGGATGCAGCCAGTGGTGGAGACTTGGTCTAGTTTCCTTTAGCTTCGTTTTCTGTGGCAACAGACCTCAGAGTCATGTAGTTGCTGGCTGTGGTAGGGACCTGACTGGAGTTTTGGCCTGGCCTGGGAAACGGCATCTCTCTATCATTTGGGTGGCAGCTCATGGAGGTTTTGAAAAGCCAAGTGTGAGCATCACGGTGAAAATTTTTCCTAGGTTGTGTGACTGAGTTTCCCAAAGAGAGAGAGACTGTTAAAAGAAGAGAAGAAGGAGGGGCGGGCTCCTGGCAAGGCGTTCGCTCCTGAACAGAGTCCTGCAAAGGTCAGTAGGTGGGATGGTGCAGAGGGATGGGGGTTAGGATGGGGGACACTGGGTATTTGATGTAGTATTTGGAACTTTCCCTGGGTGGATCAAAGGGCCGGTTACCCCCTTTCTATACTCTTTATTGTGCATTGGGAGAACTTCCACAGTGGAAAAACATGATACAGATCACTCTCCTACCCGAGGAACCCCTCACTTGGCAGGTGAGCCAGGGCTGAGGGAGCAGGTGCATGGCGCTTGTTTTCCACTCCCTGGGTGTGCACAGCACCAAAGATTTCTGGCTTTCTCATGCTTTTCTGCCCCTCATATCTCCCGTGACCAATGCTCTTGTTTCTTCACCTCATCCCAGATGGAGAAGGAGGAGGAGACAACTCGGGAGCTGCTGCTGCCTAACTGGCAGGGCAGCGGCTCCCACGGACTGACCATTGCCCAGAGGGATGATGGAGTCTTTGTTCAGGAAGTGATGCAGAACTCCCCTGCGGCCCGCACTGGAGTGGTCAAAGAGGGTGAGTCTCCCCAAGATAGTGACTGGGCACTGGGGGGTGAGAGAGGTTACTAAAAGGAAGGACGGGAGGCGGGGGAGCAGGCAGAAATGCCCAAATGGCTGTGGAAGGCTTGGGTCCAACAACTAAAGATGGTCAGTATCCAAGCCCTGTTCTTTTTTGCCTACTCCGTGTCTTGCTTGTGAATATGAGGGGAGGCAGTTATGAGGAGTCCTGGAGCCCTTGTCTTCAGATCCGAGTCTTCTCCCTCACCAGCTCTGCAGCTTTGTGTAAAATAGTTGGCCTTTTGAGCCACAGTTTCCTCATCTGTACAAAGAATGGGCAAAATACCATGTCTGCATGGTATTTACAAAGCTAAAGGAAAGTCAGTTTTAGCATCTGTTATGTGGTACTTTCTTGAGCCCTGCATGTCTTTTACCTAATTGTTGCACTTCCTTACTTAGGGGACCAGATTGTGGGTGCCACCATCTACTTTGACAACCTGCAGTCTGGTGAGGTGACCCAGCTGCTGAACACCATGGGGCATCACACTGTTGGCTTGAAGTTGCACCGTAAGGGGGACCGTTCCCCTGAGCCTGGACAGACCTGGACTCATGAAGTCTTCAGCTCCCGTAGCTCCGAGGTGGTGCTGGTGAGTTCCTGGTGACCCACCTTTGCTCTGAGCTTGCCATAATCCTGGTGGCCTCCTGGCCTCACTTCCTGAGCCTTCTGCTTGTGTCCTGAACCTCTGCTACTTCCATCTTCTTCTTTCATTTCTTTCTGACTTCTCTCTGCTGCTTTCTTCCTGCCTATGTTGTGGCATGCGGCTGATTCTGTTCTTACAAGTATTGTGTTCTTTCGGTCTCTTGAGACTGTGCCATGGCTTGGGAACCAGCTCAAGTGTTAGGGGCTTAGATGCCAAGTAAAGACTGCTTTACTAGAGTTTTTGAAGCGCTTTCACTGGTGTTCAACCTGCCTCTCTACTTTCTGTGCGTGAGAAGATGAGCAGCGTAGGGCTCGTGGGGAAGGCTTCTTCACTCCTCGTGGCTTGCTTATGGAATAAACCATGTGTCCTAATTGTGAAAGTATTCCCAAACACAGCCAGGCCTTCAGGCTTCACAAACGCTCCAGTATGCAAAGGCTCTTAGGAGACCTTAACCAAACAAGCCTGCAAGTTGAGAGTTGAAGGATGAAGGGTCTGTTTGGGATGGGTCCATGGAACAGGTTGATTTGAAGTACCACTGGGTGGTCGAGTCTCTTCCTGGGAGCACAGTTCAGGAATCTATGACCTTTGCTTTCCAGAATTTTCTTCCAGATAGTTTCTCTTTTCCTCTTGTAATGTGACTGTCAGCCCCTTTCTTCAGTCCCCTGTGTTCTGTCCCAGGAGACTCTCTGGAACTCTGTTATGTTCTGAGCATCTTTGAGAAACAAGCAACCCTGTTGTCGGCTAGGCTGCGGCCAGGCATCTGCCAACTCAGGCGGGCTTTGCTGCAACTTCTGCTGGGCGTGTCTTTCTGCAGAGCGGGGATGATGAAGACTACCAGCGCATCTACACCACAAAGATCAAGCCACGACTGAAGTCGGAGGATGGTGTGGAAGGGGACCTTGGGGAGACCCAGAGCCGTACCATCACGGTGACCAGAAGGGTCACAGCCTACACTGTGGATGTGACCGGTCGGGAAGGAGTGAAGGACATCGACATCAGCAGCCCTGAGTTCATGATCAAGATACCAAAGCATGAAGTGACTGAAATCGCCAACACAGATGTAGAGATGCAGTCTGGGAAGACGGTGATTAGACTACCCTCAGGATCGGGGGCAGTTTCTCCAACCCCTGGCTCTGCCATGGATATCCGGGCAGGGGCCGTTTCTGCTTCAGGACCAGAGCTCGAAGGTGCTGGCCAATCAAAATTCCAGGTCACCGTACCTGGGATAAAGGTGGGAAGCCCCGGCGTCAATGTCAGTGCAAAAGGCTTGGACTTGGGTGGCAAAGGAGGGATCCAAGTTCCAGGGGTGGACATTTCGTCTTCTCTTGGGACTGGCTCAGTAGAGGTACAGGGTCCTTCCCTCCAGAGTGGTGATATTGGGAAAATTAAAATTCCAACCATGAAGATGCCAAAATTTGGTGTCTCAGCAGGCCCGGAGGGTCAGATACCAGAGGCAGGGCTGAGTGTTTCCGCACCTGAGTTCTCTGTGGGGCATAAAGGTGACAAGCCAGGTTTGGCCATTGGTGGGAGCATTCAGGCCCCTCACTTGGAAGTCAGTGCCCCTTCTGTCAATATTGAGGGCCTTGGGGGGAAGCTGAAGGGTCCCCAAATCACTGGGCCATCACTCGAAAGTGACTTAGGTCTGAAAGGTACCAAGCTGCAGGGGAACATAGGAATGGATGCCTCTGCTTCCAAAATTGAGGGCAGCATCACTGGTCCCAGTGTGGAAGTTGGAACCCCTGATGTCGACATTCATGGGCTAGGAGGCAAACTGAATTTGCCCAAGATGAAAGTCCCTAAATTCTCTGCATCAGGTTCCAAGGGAGAGGGAGTTGGCGTTGATGTGACAGTGCCCACAGGTGAAGTGACCCTTCCTGGGGTCTCTGGGGATGTTAGTCAGCCTGAGATTGCCATTGGTGGGCTAGAAGGGAAGATAAAGGGTGCTAAAGTCAAGACACCTGAAATGATCGTCCAGAAACCTAAAATCTCCATGCAGGATGTGGATCTGAGCCTTGGGTCTGGTAAACTGAAAGGCGATATGAAGGTGTCTGCTCCTGAGGTCAAAGGTGATGTTAAAGGCCCTCATGTGGCAGTTAAAGGCCCCAAAGTGGACATAGAGACACCAAACTTAGAGGGGACCTTGACAGGTCCCAAGCTCAGCAGCCCTTCTGGAAAAATAGGGGCCTGTAGGATATCTATGGCAGATGTAGACCTAAATGTAGCTGCGCCTAAAGGGAAAGGTGGTGTAGATGTTGTGCTACCCAAAGTAGAAGGGAAAATCAAAGTCCCTGAACTTGATGTCCAAGGCCCCAAAATGGATATTAGTGCCCCAGATGTGGAAGTGCATGGCCCAGAATGGAACTTGAAAACGCCCAAGATGAAGATGCCCAAGTTCAGTGTCCCAGGGGTCAAAGGAGAAGGCCCAGATGTAGATGTGGCTCTACCGAAAGGAGACATCAGTATTTCAGGGCCTAAGGTCAACATAGAAGCCCCAAGTGCCAACATGGAGAGTCTGGGGGGCAAACTTAAAGGTCCTGATATTGATCTTCCTGAAGTGAGTGTCAAGACTCCAAAGGTTTCCATACCTGATGTAGATCTGCACATCAAAGGCGCAAAGGTGAAGGGAGAGTGTGATGTCACAACACCAAAGCTTGAGGGTGACCTGAAAGGCCTCCAAGTGGATGCTGATGCCCCAGAAGTGAATGTTCATGGCCCAGACCTGAAGATACCCAAGATGAAGATGCCCAAATTCAGTGTGCCAGGGTTCAAAGCAGAGGGCCCAGAAGTGGATGTGAATCTGCCCAAGGCAGATATGGACATTTCTGGGCCTAAGGTGGAGGTCAGTGCTCCAGATGTGAGCATTGAGGGACCAGAAGGGAAACTGAAAGGACCTAAGTTTAAAATGCCTGAAATGAATATCAGAGCTCCAAAGATCTCCATGCCAGATGTGGACTTACACTTAAAAGGCCCCAGTGTAAAGGGAGAATATGATGTTACCGTGCCAAGGCCTGAAGGTGAGATTAAAGTTCCTGATGTTGAACTTAAAAGTGCCAAACTGGACATTGATGCCCCGAATGTGGATGTTCAAGGTCCCGAATGGCACATGAAGATGCCAAAGATAAAAATGCCCAAGTTTGGTATGCCAGGCTTCAAGGCAGAGAGTCCAGATGTGGAGGTGAATCTCCCTAAGGCCAACATTGATGTCTCAGGACCCAAGGTAGATGTCAAAGCACCAGATGTGAACATTGAAGGACCTGAAGGAAAACTGAAGGGTCCTAAGCTGAAGACGCCTGAGATGAATATAAAGGCCCCAAAGATCTCCATGCCTGATGTAGATTTGCATATGAAAGGCCCCAAGGTAAAAGGAGAGTATGATGTCACAATGCCAAAGATTGAAGGAGATTTGAAAGGCCCCAAAGTAGATGTCAGTGCTCCAGATGTTGACATTCAGAGTCCTGATTGGAACTTGAAAATGCCAAAGATTAAAATGCCCAAATTTAGCATGCCTAGTCTCAAAGGAGAAGGCCCAGAATTGGATGTAAACATGCCCAAGGCTGATATGGACATTTCTGTACCAAAACTAGATATTAGTGCTCCAGATTTGAACCTTGAAGGACCTGAAGGAAAGTTGAAAGGCCCCAAGTTTAAGATGCCTGAGATGCATTTCAAGGCTCCAAAGGTGTCTCTACCAGATGTGGACCTGGATCTCAAAGGACCCAAAATGAAAGGAAATCTAGACATGTCTGCACCAAAAATAGAGGGAGAGATGAAAGTACCAGATGTGGACATCAAAGGTCCGAAGATAGATATTAAATCACCAGATGGGGAAGGTCAGGGCCCAGACTGGAGCCTGAAAATGCCAAAGATGAAAATGCCTAAGTTCAGTATGCCTACTCTCAAAGGTGAGGGTCCAGAAGTGGATGTGAACCTGCCTAAGGCTGACATTGATGTCTCAGCACCCAAGGTTGACATTGAAGGCCCTGATGTGAGCATTGAAGGACCAGAAGGAAAGTTGAAAGGTCCTAAGTTCAAGATGCCTGAGATGAACATCAAGGCCCCTAAGATCTCCATGCCTGATGTGGACTTAAACTTGAAAGGCCCCAAAGTCAAGGGGGATGTGGATGTGACACTGCCCAAGCTAGAAGGTGAAATGAAAGTGCCAGATGTGGACATCAAAGGACCTAAAGTGGACATCAGTGCCCCAGATGTGGATGTTCATGGGCCAGATTGGCACCTGAAGATGCCCAAGATGAAAATGCCCAAGTTCAGCATGCCTGGCTTCAAAGCAGAAGGCCCAGAAGTGGATGTGAACCTGCCAAAGGCTGACATTGATGTCTCAGGACCCAAGGTGGACATTGAAGGCCCTGATGTGAGCATTGAAGGGCCAGAAGGAAAGCTGAAAGGTCCTAAGTTCAAGATGCCTGACATGCACTTCAAGGCTCCTAAGGTCTCCATGCCTGATGTGGACTTGAATATTAAGGGGCCTAAAGGAAAAGCAGATGTGGCATTGCCTGATGTAGAGGGTGAAATAAAAGTTCCAGATGTGGATGTTAAAGGGCCCAAAGTTGGCATTGATGCTCCAGACATTGAAGTTCATGGCCCAGACTGGCACCTTAAGATGCCTAAAATGAAAATGCCCAAGTTCAGCATGCCTGGCTTCAAAGGAGAAGGCCCTGAAGTGGATGTGAACCTGCCAAAGGCTGACATTGATGTCTCAGGACCCAAGGTAGACATTAATGTTCCAGATGTAAATATTGAAGCTCCAGATACAAAACTAAAAGGGCCAAAATTTAAGATGCCAGAAATGAATATAAAGCCTCAGAAGATATCCATGCCAGATGTTAGCTTGAATTTGAAAGGCCCTAAAGTGAAAGGAGACTATGATGTTCCAAAAGTGGGAGGAGAAATAAAAGCTCCTGCTGTTGATATCAAAGGCCCCCAAGTAGATGTACCAGATGTGGATGTTCATGGCCCAGACTGGCACCTGAAGATGCCTAAGGTAAAAATGCCTAAGTTCAGTATGCCTGGCTTCAAAGGAGAGGGCCCTGAAGTGGATGTAAATCTTCAAAAGGCCAACATTGATGTCTCAGGACCCAAAGTGAACATTGATGTTCCAGATGTGAATATTGAAGCTCCAGAAGGGAAACTAAAGGGCCCCAAGTTCAAGATGCCGAGCATGAATATACAGACACACAAAATCTCTATGCCTGATGTTGGTCTTAATCTGAAAGGACCTAAACTGAAAAGTGATGTAGATGTTTCTCTTCCAAAAGTGGAAGGAAATTTGAAAGGTCCTGAAGTTGATGTTAAAGTCCCTAAGGTGGATGTGGATGTTGGTGATATTGATATTGAATGTCCAGAAGGGAAGTTGAAGGGTCCCAAGTTCAAGATGCCTGACATGCACTTCAAGACTCCTAAGATCTCCATGCCTGATGTGGACTTAAACTTGAAAGGCCCCAAAGTCAAGGGGGATGTGGATGTGACAGTGTCCAAGCTAGAAGGTGAAATGAAAGTGCCAGATGTGGACATCAAAGGACCTAAAGTGGACATCAGTGCCCCAGATGTGGATGTTCATGGGCCAGACTGGCACCTGAAGATGCCCAAAATAAAAATGCCCAAGTTCAGCATGCCTGGCTTCAAGGGAGAAGGTCCTGAAGTAGATGTGAACCTGCCAAAGGCTGACATTGATGTCTCAGGACCCAAGGTGGACATTGATGTTCCAGATGTGAATATAGAAGGTCCTGATGCAAAATTGAAGGGTCCTAAGTTCAAGATGCCAGAGATGAACATCAAGGCTCCCAAGATCTCCATGCCTGATTTGCATCTCAAGGGTCCCAAACTGAAGGGAGATGTGGATGTTTCCCTGCCCAAAGTAGAAGGTGACCTCAAGGGCCCTGAAGTTGACATCAAAGGCCCCAAAATGGACATTAATGCCCCAGATGTTGATGTTCATGGTCCAGACTGGCACCTGAAGATGCCCAAGGTGAAAATGCCCAAGTTCAGCATGCCTGGTTTTAAAGGCGAGGGCCCTGAAGTGGATGTGAGCCTGCCAAAGACTGACATTGATGTCTCAGGGCCAAAGGTGGACATTGATGTTCCAGATGTGAATATAGAAGGTCCTGATGCAAAACTGAAGGGTCCTAAGTTCAAGATGCCAGAGATGAACATCAAGGCTCCCAAGATCTCCATGCCAGATGTGGACTTGAATTTGAAGGGGCCCAAACTGAAAGGAGAGATAGATGCTTCTGTGCCAGAAATGGAAGCTGATCTCAGAGGTCCTCAAGTTGATATCAAAGGCCCCAACATAGATGTGGAAGTGCCTGATGTTGACCTGGAATGTCCTGAGGCAAAGTTGAAGGGCCCCAAGTTTAAGATGCCTGACATGCACTTCAAGACCCCTAAGATCTCCATGCCTGATGTGGACTTACATTTGAAAGGCCCCAAAGTCAAAGGGGATCTCGATGTGACAGTGCCCAAGCTAGAAGGAGAATTAAAAGGTCCCAGCATGGATGTGGAAGTACCTGATGTTGACCTGGAATGTCCTGATGCAAAGTTGAAGGGTCCCAAGTTTAAGATGCCTGACATGCACTTCAAGACCCCTAAGATCTCCATGCCTGATGTGGACTTAAACTTGAAAGGCCCCAAAGTCAAGGGGGATGTGGATGTGACAGTGCCCAAGCTAGAAGGTGAAATGAAAGTGCCAGATGTGGACATCAAAGGACCTAAAGTGGACATCAGTGCTCCAGATGTGGATGTTCATGGGCCAGATTGGCACCTGAAGATGCCCAAGATGAAAATGCCCAAGTTCAGCATGCCTGGCTTCAAAGCAGAAGGCCCAGAAGTGGATGTGAACCTGCCCAAGGCTGACATTGATGTCTCAGGACCCAAGGTGGATGTTGAAGTTCCTGATGTGAGCATTGAAGGACCAGAAGGAAAGCTGAAAGGTCCCAAGTTTAAGATGCCTGACATGCACTTCAAGGCTCCTAAGATCTCTATGCCTGATGTGGACCTGCACTTGAAAGGCCCTAAGGTCAAAGGGGATATGGATGTGACTGTTCCAAAACTGGAAGGAGATTTGAAAGGCCCCAATGTGAATGTAGAGGTACCTGATGTTGACCTGGAATGTCCTGAGGCAAAGTTGAAAGGCCCCAAGTTTAAGATGCCTGACATGCACTTCAAGACCCCTAAGATCTCCATGCCTGATGTGGACTTACATTTGAAAGGCCCCAAAGTCAAAGGGGATCTCGATGTGACAGTGCCCAAGCTAGAAGGAGAATTGGAAGGTCCCAGCGTGGATGTGGAAGTACCTGATGTTGACCTGGAATGTCCTGATGCAAAGTTGAAGGGCCCCAAGTTTAAGATGCCTGACATGCACTTCAAGACCCCTAAGATCTCCATGCCTGATGTGGACTTAAACTTGAAAGGCCCCAAAGTCAAGGGGGATGTGGATGTGACACTGCCCAAGCTAGAAGGTGAAATGAAAGTGCCAGATGTGGACATCAAAGGACCTAAAGTGGACATCAGTGCTCCAGATGTGGATGTTCATGGGCCAGATTGGCACCTGAAGATGCCCAAGATGAAAATGCCCAAGTTCAGCATGCCTGGCTTCAAAGCAGAAGGCCCAGAAGTGGATGTGAACCTGCCCAAGGCTGACATTGATATCTCAGGACCCAAGGTGGATGTTGAAGTTCCTGATGTGAGCATTGAAGGACCAGAAGGAAAGCTGAAAGGTCCCAAGTTCAAGATGCCTGACATGCACTTCAAGGCTCCTAAGATCTCCATGCCTGATGTTGATTTCAACTTAAAGGGTTCTAAAATCAAAGGAGATATTGATGTTTCAGTCCCAAAACTTGAGGGAGACTTAAAGGGTCCAGAACTGGATGTCAAGGGCCCCAAATTGGATGTCGACATGCCAGAAGTAGCTGTGGAAGGCCCGGAAGGTAAATGGAAAAGTCCTAAATTCAAGATGCCAGACATGCACTTTAAAGCTCCCAAAATCTCCATGCCAGACATTGATCTTCACTTAAAGAGTCCAAAGATAAAGGGTGAGGTTGATGTAGATGTTCCCAAATTGGAAGGAGACCTCAAAGGGCCAAGTGTGGACCTAAGTGGACCAGACATTGAGATTGAAGGACCAGAAGGCAAACTGAAAGGTCCTAAGTTCAAGATGCCAGAGATGAACATCAAAGCCCCCAAGATCTCCATGCCTGATTTGCATCTCAAGGGTCCCAAACTAAAGGGAGATGTGGATGTTTCCCTGCCCAAAGTAGAAGGTGACCTCAAAGGAACAGAAATTGAAATCAAAGGCCCCAAAATGGACATTAATGCTCCAGATGTTGATGTTCATGGTCCAGACTGGCACCTGAAGATGCCCAAGGTGAAAATGCCCAAGTTCAGCATGCCTGGCTTCAAAGCAGAAGGCCCAGAAGTGGATGTGAACCTGCCAAAGGCTGACATTGATGTCTCAGGACCCAAGGTGGACAATGAAGGCCCTGATGTGAGCATTGAAGGACCAGAAGGAAAGTTGAAAGGTCCTAAGTTCAAGATGCCTGAGATGAACATCAAAGCCCCGAAGATCTCCATGCCAGACATTGATCTTAACCTGAAAGGCCCCAAAGTGAAGGGTGATGTGGACGTGTCCCTGCCCAAAGTGGAAGGTGAGATTAAAGTTCCTGAAGTTGACATCAAAGGCCCCAAAGTGGACATTGATGCTCCAGATGTGGATGTTCATGGTCCAGACTGGCACCTGAAGATGCCCAAAGTGAAAATGCCCAAGTTCAGCATGCCTGGCTTCAAGGGAGAGGGTCCTGAAGTGGATGTGAACCTGCCAAAGGCTGACATTGATGTCTCAGGACCCAAGATGGATATTGATGTTCCAGATGTGAATATAGAAGGTCCTGATGCAAAACTGAAGGGTCCTAAGTTCAAGATGCCAGAGATGAACATCAAGGCTCCCAAGATCTCCATGCCTGATTTGCATCTCAAGGGTCCCAAACTGAAGGGAGATGTGGATGTTTCCCTGCCCAAAGTAGAAGGTGACCTCAAGGGCCCTGAAGTTGACATCAAAGGCCCCAAAATGGACATTAATGCTCCAGATGTTGATGTTCATGGTCCAGACTGGCACCTGAAGATGCCCAAGGTGAAAATGCCCAAGTTCAGCATGCCTGGCTTCAAGGGAGAGGGTCCTGAAGTGGATGTGAACCTGCCAAAGGCTGACATTGATGTCTCAGGACCCAAGGTGGACATTGATGTTCCAGATGTGAATATAGAAGGTCCTGATGCAAAACTGAAGGGTCCTAAGTTCAAGATGCCAGAGATGAACATCAAAGCTCCTAAGATCTCAATGCCAGATTTGGACCTTAACATTAAAGGCCCCAAAGTGAAAGGAGATGTAGATGTTTCACTTCCAAGTGTTGAAGGTGATTTGAAAGGGCCTTCTCTTGACATAAAGGGCCCAAAATTAGATCTAAATGCTCCAGATGTTGACATTCATGGTCCCGAGGGCAAATTAAAAGGCCCCAAACTGAAAATGCCTGACATGCATGTCAACATGCCCAAGATCTCTATGCCTGAAATTGACTTGAATTTAAAGGGCTCAAAGCTTAAGGGAGATGTTGATGTCTCTGGACCCAAACTGGAGGGTGAAATTAAAACTCCCAAGTTAGATGTGAAGGGCCCAGAAGTGGACATTTCTGCTCCCAAGGTTAATATTGAAGGGAAATCAAAGAAATCTCGTTTTAAGCTCCCTAAATTTAATTTTTCTGGATCCAAAGTTCAGACACCTGACATGGATGTCAAAGTTAAAAAGCCAGATGTTGATGTAACAGCTCCAAAAGTTGACATTAATGCTCCAGAAGTGGAAGTACAAGGCAAAGTGAAAGGATCCAAGTTTAAAATGCCTTTCCTGAGTATTTCATCTCCCAAAGTTTCTATGCCTGATGTGGAGCTAAATTTGAAAGGTCCTAAGGTCAAGGGAGACTTAGATGTAGCAGGCCCAAATTTAGAAGGAGACTTTAAAAGCCCTAAAGTGGACATTAAAGCACCAGAGGTTCATATTAATGCACCTGATGTGGACGTTCATGGTCCAGAATGGAATCTGAAGATGCCCAAGATGAAAATGCCCAAGTTTAGTGTATCTGGCATAAAAGCAGAAGGACCTGATGTGGCTATGGATTTACCAAAAGGAGACATCAATGTAGAAGTTCCCAGTATGAATATTGAGGGCCCAGAACTCAATATAGAGGGTCCAGAGGGAAGCTTAAAAGGCCCCAAATTTAAGATGCCTGAGATGAACATCAAAGCCCCCAAGATCTCTATGCCTGACATTGACTTAAACCTGAAAGGTCCCAAGGTAAAAGGTGATGTAGATGTATCTCTTCCCAAACTTGAAGGAGATCTTAAAGGGCCAAAAGTTGACATCAAAGGCCCCAAAGTGGACATTGATGCTCCAGATGTGGATGCTCATGGTCCAGATTGGCACCTTAAGATGCCCAAAGTGAAAATGCCCAAGTTCAGTATGCCTGGCTTCAAGGGAGAGGGCCCTGAAGTGGATGTTAATTTGCCCAAAGCTGACATTGATGTCTCAGGACCCAAGGTGGACATTGATGTTCCAGATGTGAATATAGAAGGTCCTGATGCAAAACTGAAGGGTCCTAAGTTCAAGATGCCAGAGATGAACATCAAGGCTCCCAAGATCTCTATGCCTGACATTGATCTGAATCTTAAAGGCCCAAAATTGAAAGGTGATGTGGATGTGTCCTTGCCCAAAGTAGAAGGTGACCTCAAGGGTCCAGAGGTGGATATTACTGGCCCTAAAGTGGACATTGACATTCCTGAAGTTAGCATTGAAGGTCCAGAGGGCAAACTGAAAGGCCCCAAGTTTAAGATGCCTGAGATGAACATCAAAGCCCCCAAGATCTCCATGCCAGACATTGATCTTAACCTGAAAGGCCCCAAAGTGAAGGGTGATGTGGACGTGTCCCTGCCCAAAGTGGAAGGTGAGATTAAAGTTCCTGAAGTTGACATCAAAGGCCCCAAAGTGGACATCGATGCCCCAGATGTGGATGTTCATGGTCCAGACTGGCACCTGAAGATGCCCAAAATAAAAATGCCCAAGTTCAGCATGCCTGGCTTCAAGGGAGAAGGTCCTGAAGTAGATGTGAACCTGCCAAAGACTGACATTGATGTCTCAGGACCCAAGGTGGACATTGATGTTCCAGATGTGAATATAGAAGGTCCTGATGCAAAACTGAAGGGTCCTAAGTTCAAGATGCCAGAGATGAACATCAAGGCTCCCAAGATCTCCATGCCTGATTTGCATCTCAAGGGTCCCAAACTGAAGGGAGATGTGGATGTTTCCCTGCCCAAAGTAGAAGGTGACCTCAAGGGCCCTGAAGTTGACATCAAAGGCCCCAAAATGGACATTAATGCTCCAGATGTTGATGTTCATGGTCCAGACTGGCACCTGAAGATGCCCAAGGTGAAAATGCCCAAGTTCAGCATGCCTGGCTTCAAAGCAGAAGGCCCAGAAGTGGATGTGAACCTGCCAAAGGCTGACATTGATGTCTCAGGACCCAAGGTGGACATTGAAGGCCCTGATGTGAGCATTGAAGGACCAGAAGGAAAGTTGAAAGGTCCTAAGTTCAAGATGCCTGAGATGAAC